GCTACTGTATTTTTCGTCCTATAGGATGCACTTTTCCCCCTCCAAAAATGAAGGGGAAATCTGTGTGCGTCCTATGGGGCAAATACAGGCTTTCGCTGAAGCTTGGAGAGCGAGAGGGGTCGGTGCGCACCGGCCCCTCTCGCTCTCAGAGCTTCAGGAAGCTATCAGCAAGCCTGGGGAGCCGCGGGAGTTCCCACAGGGCTCCCTAGGCTGCGGATAGCAGCCTGCCACCCGGCGCGCAGGGGCGCCCTGAAGCAGAGCGCCCCGCGCCCGGGCAGACACTCCCCACGTCTGCGGATAGCAGCCTGCTGCACGGAGCACGCGGGCGCCTGAAGCAGAGCGCCCTGCGCTTTGGGCAGACATCGGCCAGCCCCACAAGCTCAGGGGACAGCGGGGAGGCGCAGGGCAGCCATCCCGCTGTTCCCCGACCTGGTTTGGTTTCCCCGACCTGGTTTTGGGGGGAATTTTTTTCCTTTATTTCCCCCCCCAAAAAACTAGGTGCGTCCTATGGGACGGAGCGTCCTATGGGACGAAAAATACAGTACCTTTAGCAGGTGGCACACAGAGGAAAAAGTACTCAGAGATTCCAGGATCCATATTTAGAGTTGTTTGCATGATGCGCATGCCAGAGCCTATTGCCTTTCCTCCCTCCGCATCTATATTTTTTAAAAAATAATATTTATTGATTTTCCAACCATTTAAACACAATAGAACAGAAAAAACAAAAAAGAAAAAGAAAAAGAAAAAGAAAAGAAAAGAAGAAACATAAGATTAACAAAACAAGACGCAAACCATTTAAAACACAAAACAATTTCAATATCTTAACTTTCATTCCCTTATTTCCACGACCTCCTCACACCTCTCTTTTTGTATTCCACTTCTATTAATTGTTTCAGCAATTCCTTTCCATCTTCCTCTGTTTTCTATCCTATAATTATCTTAACATATTCTAATCTTATTTTTCCCTGTAATACTCTTTTAATCTATTTATACTTAATTCCTTATAGCATTTCTACTAAAGCCATATAACTTCATTCCTACATTTTTCTAACATTCATTATTTTTACAATATTTCTATAAATAGTCTTAAACTTTTTCCAGTCTTCTTCCACTGTCTCTTCTCCCTGGTCTTGGATTTCTGCCAGTCGTTTCCACCAATTCCATATAGTCCATCAACTTCATCTGCCATTCTTCCCGGATAGATAAATCTTGTGTCTTCCAGTACTTCACAATGAGTACTCTTGCTGCTATTATTGCATACGTGAAAAGAGTTCTATCCTTCTTTAACACCAATTGGCTGACCATGCCCAGGAGAAAGGCCTCTGGTTTCTTCAAAAAGGTATATTTAAATACCTTTTTCATTTCATTATGAATCATCTCCCAAAGTGTCTTAATGCTTGGGCATGTCCACCAAAGGTGAACTCTAATCCTCAAATTCGTCTGTTTTTCTTTGAGTTCAGTCATAGCAAGCGTCAACTTGTATTCATCAAGTTGCTTCTGTAGGAGCTGGGGCTCTCTTGCTCTTTCTCTCCAGTTGTGTTTCTTTACATTCAGCAACAACAGTTTTTTCCCTGGCCTCCTCCACAGTTTGCCGTATCAAAATAGGTTCCTGTGTCAATTTCTGGGTACTTTCTATATTAGTATTATTTATACTTTCTGTATTTAAGTTAGTTTTAATGATTGGAACATCCACTTTCGCATTTATCGTGTCCATTTTCCTGTGAAGCTGATCCAATGAATCATTTATCTTAAATAATGCTACCACTAGAGCCTCTTCTGTCAACATTTCTCTTGGTTTTACATATACTGGTACAAAGGCTCAGAAAAAGCAGGGGGGTGGGCTGATGATGGACCTCTCCTGGATTGTTGCCAAGTCCTCCCAGACCGTAATGTTTTGTCAGCAGCTGACTGGTCTGTTTTTCCTCTTCCATTAACCATAACACTTAAAAGCTTCAAGGTCAGTCCCAGAGTCTCACGGTTTTTAGCTTGCAGCTGGAAATTTCCCTAACCCAACTCTTGTAAAAGCAACCGGTTTCAAAGGCTTCCACTAGGGAAAACAGTTTCTTAGTGTACTAGTCAATAGTATCCTCTTTTAAACAATCCGAAAATTAGTTTCAAGTTAGTTTCAATTTTCAGTTACCTTTACTTTTTAAAGCAGCCGGAAACAGAAGAAACAATGTATTTCTCTTGTTTAACTAGCTGTCAATGAACGTTCTAAACGCTGTCAATGAACATTCCAAAGTCCGTCAGTCCTACTAGCAGCCCGTTTCCAGGGTCAGAGCGGCGGTGTTTTAGATCTCTTCGCTCTCTCCTGCAGGCATATTCAGTCCACAACTTCCCCCCCTCTTCTCCTGCCTCCAAAGGGGGGTTTTGTTCTTTACCGATGGAAATTTAATCTTTTACAAAAGACTTTCCAGGACTCCAGCTTGCAACTTCATTGCCTCAGTCTATTTACAAAAGGGGGAGGCGGACTTCCTGTTTTGAACCTCCCCGCTTCGATACCAAATTATACTTTCAAAAATCCAATTCTCCCGTTTCAGCTCTACTCACGGGCAATTACTTTAAGGTCAAATTGTCCACAGGAAAAAGTCAGCGCTCTCCGGCAACGGCTGTGCGGCTTTGCTCCGTGGAAGAAGCAGACAATTCGAAGCACCGTGCCACTCACCCCACGTTGCTCCGGAGCCCCGAAAACGGGTTTCCCCGCGAGTAGGGGAGGCGCAGAACGTGCCCGCCAAATCCCACATTCACAGGCTTCTCCCGCCTGTGATTTTTACGGGTCTCCGCCTTCGCCGTGGCGGCCAGACCCAATTTCCCACGGGGCAAATTCCTCCCGGTCAGAGGAATTCCGCCATTGCCGATGGCGCCAACCCGGAAGTCTCCCTCCCTCCGCATCTAACCCGCTTCCCCTTTTGGCTTTGTTCTGATTCTATTTACTTTAATCTGTATGGTACTGCACTACAAATCACTATGCTCTGTTGCCGATTTTCTTTTTTTATTGTTCTTATTCATGGGACTGTATTGTTAAGGAAAAAACAGTAAAAGTATGCATAAAAAGAACAACAACAGAAGGGAATGTGCTATTTCCTTAACTAGTATGACCCTTTTTATTTTTATTTTTTGCCATCCTCCCCTTCTTGAGCAGTAAAGATGAAAATAGGCACTGTTTGAGCATGATTCCTTACATAATGAAATTGTAATGAAGACATCAAAATGTAAGTCATGAACACTGCAAAAACGATGTATGGGGGTGGGGAAGGATCAACAAAACCCGCATTTGCACATGACAATGCAGGAAGAGAATTTGGGCTACACATGGGATAATAGGACTTGTCATTTTAGGGTGTGAAACTTAATTTTGCAAATTTATTCAGTGAGGAGTCTTAAAAATGTGTTTTGTTTGTGAGGAATTCAAATCTGCTGTTATTTTGTGATTGGGCAACATTTAGCTTGGTAAATCTAAGCTTGATTTAAAAAGCATCTAAACTGCTGTTGGAAAACCAAGTAATTTTAATTTTATGTTCTTAAAATGTCAAATAAGATTATTTTTAAAACATAGTTTTTCTGCATAAAACATCCTACTAAGCATACAACATTATGTTGAAATCATAGAGTAGCATTAGAAAGTAATGACATCAGTATATAAGAAATTTAAACAACAAGTTTCAACAAGTCTTGCTTTGATATGTTCTTGGACATCAGCCATGAACTTGCTGCTTGGCCTCTGATGTAGCCCTCACATTTGCCATGTGATTTGTTTCACACACCTCTCTATAGACCGAGCATGACAGGGCCACTGTAGAACTTGCATGAGCTTCTTGATGAACTTCTTTACATCTGTTGCAGTAAGTTTAGATATCAAAGGAGGTTCATATGCCCTGTCAAACCAGTCTCCAATAGGGACGAAGCACTGGGGTTGATGGAAGATATCTTCCTCAGACATATAGAAAGATCTCCCAGTTTGTCATAATCTCCGCCCCTCAAGTCAATGATGTTTTGGACACCAGATCTCCTCTTCTCACTGTCATCTGAGCACAAGAGTGCCTGGATTATCATTTCACTGAATGCACACCATGGCTGAGTGCTGGATGGTTGGCAAAACAGCATCCACCACAGCCTTTTTTCGCAGCCTTATTAACTGCAGCTGAAACAAGATGTGATGTGGGCCTTCCACTCAAGAGTGGTTTACTTTGGTGTTGAACCAGCAGGGCTTACACACAAACCATGTATTCCACTATCATGCTTAAATTTTTGAGGGTTTTGTCTGTAATACCATGTTTTGAAACCCATGTGACAAAGCCTTTGCTGTTGAATGCCTCACTGGATCCATTTCAAGAAGGGCCAGATCTGTGGGAAGTTTTCTTGTCCTTATGGCCTGTGTGATCAGATACCAATACAAGCTTGGGACATTTTTTTTAAAAGGTACAGTTTGTCCCAGGATGTCCTCCAGATACCAGTCATATAGACCAGCAGAGCTGGATAAGTGGCATGTTTGCAGTGTGCGATTTTGCTATTGGTTGCAAAATCCAGCAGACATGCACATTCTGCAAAGAACTAAGCACATCAGAGGGTCACACAGCTCAGGATTATATCTATAAGCAGAATCATCACCAATATTCAGTATGCAACCAGATACATACTTACCTGGGGCAAACCTCATTTAACTCAATGAGACTTTTGAGTAGGCATATGTAGGATTTATGCTGATAGGCAAGTGTGGCAATAGTATTCCAAAGGAAATAGGTTCTTGTTACTATAACTGACTGTTCACAAAAGATATATTAATGTTTTAGGATGGAATCTCATTTCCCCCAGGCTGCTTATTAAGCCTGTTCAATCAACAACCTGACCCTGTTTAGTTGGAGGTGAAATCTCAATGCAAGCAGTCAGGCTTACTCCTACTAGGATTAATCTGTCAAGAGTTTAGAAAATCCTAAACCAGTTCATAATGCTCACAGACTTTCAGCCACTGAATTAGATTACTATTAGTTATATTAATTATCTGCCCATCAGCTATGTGTGTCTTCAGTGGGATTTATGCAACTAGACAAAGTGTTCAAGCTTTGGATTCTCTGGGCTCTGAATTCGACCCGTGATCAAAGTACTGGCTGTAGTCTTTTATCTTGAATCCTCAGATTCTCATCATCTTGTTTACTGACTTGTCTGCATCCTTGTTCGCATTTCAGTGAGATGCAGCCTGTTGCCATGAGGGTCACTGGCTGTCCTGTCGGAGAAGAGTGGCACTTATTTACAGTCATTCCACCCTCCCTGTGCAACCAGCAATCTGATAATAGGCTTTCTATCCTGACGGTCTGATCTTGATATAAGTCATCTTGCTAAGGAAGAACAGCTGAGGCCTTTTGGGGTCTTTCAGAAAGGTTTCCTGCTGGACCCTTATTAGTATTTGCAATGAATTCTGAGTACAGCTCAGTGCCAAAGCAGAGTAAAATGGTAATGTCGACTTTTGAAAATATATTATTTTAAGCTAATCGGTGTATCAGACACAATCTTCAGACTTTTTCTTCTAAGTAGTACCATTATGAGATACTCCTATAAGGATGAATGATGCTGCCATAATGCTGTCATTGCTTATAATAATCTCAGCTGCATATACTTCAATCTGCGGCTGAGCAGGGATGCAAAGGTCTAAGCCTCCTCCATCCATCCACTCATTGCAGACTACAGAAATTCTGCTTCAAAAACAACAACATTTCAGCTCTCCTGCCTATTCCCATAGAAGACAAACATGTTCGAGTTCTCCAAATTAGTTGCATGAAGTTTTTGAACTGAACTCTGTCCTATTGTTTCAATTGAAACTGTGTTGCAGAAATATTAAAGGGAGATTAAGTTAAGCATTTATTTTTAGGCTAAACATTTATTCACCGATGAAGAGTAAAATCTTACAATTGACATTGCTAATTGCTTCTTATGCATGCTCAATTAAATAACAGCTTGTGAATATTCACATAGTCCAACTTCCTTTATGTATTTAGGTTTGCAATAAAATCGTTGTATATGGAGCATTTAAACTATAACCTACCCCCCCCCCCCCATTTTAAAAGCAAGGGCAGAGCATCCTGCTTTGGAAAGAAGAATGCTAACACTCTGTCTTATCATTGGGGACTATGAGTCATAAGCTACTGTATACTGAGCAATCTGAAACATTGACTTTTCATTTTGAAATTAAGAGGACACAGTGACCATTGTTTATGGGTATGATGATATACCACACAATGGGTGTTATGGTAATCTTCAGCAATTTAGGTCACATCCACACCACAAATTTAAAGTACATTTAAAGTAGGAGCCTTGAACCAAGAGCCTGGCATAAGCTAGGAGCCTATGTTCCTATGTGTAGGAGTCTTCTCCTACTCCACAACCAGCATGAAAATGCAGGATACTAGTCTATGATACTAGCTTCTTAATAGGAGTGCTATCTATCTATCTATCTATCTATCTATCTATCTATCTATCATCTATCTATCATCTATCATCTATATAATTTTCAGGCTAGTAGCTTTTGTAGACTTATTTGCAATCTGGCACTGACATGTCATAAAGCCGGATGCTAAATTGTAAAAAATGAACAAAAACAAATCCCTCTTTAACTGTCTACCTCAGCAACTTAGCTGGTCCTTTAATTCTTAAGATTGTTACTTTATATAAATAAAAAATATGACTGAAATGGATTATTTATTCATTTTTTAAAGGTCCTATCTATTTCATAGGTTTTTTTTTCCTGGGCAAATTGTAGCTCAGGTGCACTTAGCCAGAACATGAAAAATAACAATCTTCTCGGCCCTCCCTCACTGTCTGGAAGTGTAAAATTATAATGAGCCCTTATAGCCAGAAGCAAGCCAAGTATTTAACTACTTAGGGAACTAATGATCCATGTGAAATAATCTTGCCCAATTAAAGCCAATAGAGATAAAGAATTTCCAGGCAGCCAACTGGAAGGGAGTAGGGGGCAGAAAGAAAGATATTTAATGTTTAGGAATATCTTGCTGAACTTTTAAGCCTGCCATTGCTTGTTTTGTGGGACAGGATTGTCCATTCTGTATTTAATTGCTTGTCACCTCTAGTTTTCTTATTTTATTTTTGTCACTATTATACAAACCTCTTGGCATGTGTCATTGCTGCTGCTACTGGGGGCAGGGAAGCTCTATTGACTTCCATCCTGGCAGTATCTGCTGAATACCTCCATGTGGCTGCTGTCACTCCACATTGAGCCTAGCATGGATTGGTTGCCGCTACAAAGAAATGGATGGAATTGGCCAGGGTTAGTGTCATGCTAAAAGTCAACTGGCAGTGTGCTTAGCATATCGTGAGCAGTCATATGACCTGCTCAGTGTATGATACCAGGCCTAAAACTCAGCATGCTTTCCCCCCCTGCTGATATCCTATGTTGCAGAAAGGAGGAGTGCACTTAGGACCCTAGAGTTGGAAAAGACCACGAGGATCATTTGGTCCAACCCCCTGCAAATGCAGGAATCTTTTGCCCAACGTGGAGCTCAAACCCACAACTCAGAGATTAACAGTCTCATAAACTATCAATAAAGGAGAAAGGTGTGTGTGCCAAGTGAGGAGGGGTAGAAATGAAAATGGCTTAAAGTACATGACTAAACCAGAACCGAGTCTTAAGGTTGTAGCAGTTAGTGCCTTGACCCTACTTCTTTCAAACTATCTGTGGCATGTGGCATGATGGTCACACATATTCAAAATGTGTGTTCCAATTAGGATGCTCAAGGAACGTGGTCTGTTCATGTGTCACAGTGAATTGATTTGATCCACAGGTTCTGGACTCATGTGGGGATCAGAACACACTGTGACTTTTTTGTGTTTGCTCTGTGCTCTCTGTACTATGAGGTGGTCTGAGTTTAAGTTTTTCATTTAGATAATAGTCACAGCCAACAAACAAGCAAACACAGTCACTGTCATATGTTTTCCCAATGCAGATGGGCCTTCATATGGGGGTGGGGTGGGAGATGTCCATCCCTATGTAATGACAGGGGCAACCACCTTGTCTTCTCATATAAACATACTTGTGAAGGATGGGATAATATCATATTTACTCACTCTCAGGGCATTTGCAGAGCCATTTGGTACCAACAGTTTGGGTTCCTTGCCACTTGGAACAGCTATTATATGCTTCGTTTGCTTTAAATTAAAAAGTAAATGCAACCTCTTTGGACCACATCATAGCCCAGGATGATATTAGGTTTGAAACACATTTAAGTGTGCTTTTAAAGATACATGCTGAAATATTTATTTGAGCAAGATGTACATACCATACAATGGGGAAAAAAAGTTTCTAAGTAGCTTACATAAAATGATATAAAATATTCATTAACGATGGCAATAAAAACATACTTTAAAAACAAGAGCAATAATGAAATTATCAAATTATCGAAAAAAAGTAACAGATTTTTTAAAACCTAGAAGAAAACAACAATAGTTAATTATCACTCAGTTAAAGCTCAGAGTCCCTTAGAATTTTCCAATGTTAAACCCATTCACCAATACATTCCCATTTCAGCGTGAATTAAACTGATTCAACTTGACATATGTTACAGTAGGCGAGAAAGCTATGATGGATTATTTATTTATTTATTGCATTTATATCCCATATTTTTCTCCAAGGAGCTCAAGGTGGTGTACATTGTCCCCCCACCCGACTCCTTTTTCTCCTATCCTCCAGCCACTTCTTGCAATGAAGAAAAACGAGCTTGTCAGTAAGGCTGCTGATGTTACTTTCATGCTCTCTCCTAAATGCTTTTATTGAAAAGACAGACAGGGGTGGGGCAGGAGGTGGCACTTGCCTTCTTCAACAACAGCTGTAACTGTTGGTCTTAGTTCATTCAGGCAATCTTCCAGATGGTTTTTGTTTCGGTTGGCTCCTCAAGCAAACAGAGTTCACAGCAACATACTTCGCCTAATAACGCAATGCTTTGCAGCCTTATCTAGAATACCTGTGTGTCGCTCTTTGTTTTTAATTAGAAGTTAACATTTCTGGTATCATTATCCCCCAGCATGGGGGACACAAACAACCCACTCCAAGAATTTAGGTGAGTATGATAAATGAAGCAATTTAAATTTACAAGCAGAATATTGCCTTTAGTGAGAATATTCAGCTTTGTCCAACAATTTGGTCAAAGCCGAATAAAACTAGGTCACATTGTTGTCGCATTGCCTTGTGATGAATACGCAGCAAAGCTCCAAAGGAAAATTAGTTTTTTAATGAAAAAGATGCAATTCTGAAACAAGATTTAGGCCTTTACATATTTGAACTATGTTAGGGTGATAAATCACCTTTAATCTTGAGCAATACACAGAATGTTCCAAAAGGAGAAATCACAGAAATAATTGATGCCTGGAATTGTCACACAGAGAATCCTGATCTCCTGGAAGTGATGTATTGCTTAGCAACGGTCCCTCATAACACCGGTTTATTATATGCCACACGCAGGTTTATTATGGGATGGAACTGCAAGCAACTAGCACCTTTTAAAAACAACAATGCAGTAATGTAGAAAAATTATAGCTGCTTCTCTCTCTCAACTGATTTCTCCCAAGGTTTTTCTTATATATATGCCAATAATTTTACTTCCTCCTTTGTACAGACACTAAGACAGCATACAGGTGGGAGTGAAGGTAGGGATAATAATGGAGCTGCTGTTGAACCTGAGAGTCAAACCCTTCTAGTAATAAATGTTTAAGGCAATGAAGAAAACAAGAGCCCTGGTAGTTCATGCCAGTGACCCATCTAGTCTAGCACTGGGTTCTCACAGTAGCCAACCCAAGGCAGGACCCAAGCACACCACTTTACCCACTTGTGATTCTCAAAAACTAGCCTTCAGAGTCATACTGCCTCCAACAGTGGAGATATGTAGAACATAGCCATCATGACTGGTAGCCATCGATAACCTTATCCTCCATGAATCTGTCTTATCCTCTTCCAACATTCAGCTTCATTGGATATCTGCAAGCTCTATTGTTAGAAAACAGTTTTCCTCTCTCTCTTATACCCACTTTCTCACACCATGCATAATTTTATACATCTCTGTCCTGTCCCTTCTTACACTGCCCCTCTGGGGCAAAGCAGGCAATTGCTAATGCATATGCTGTTGTGGAGTGATGGGAGCACCATGACTTGCAGGATAAGGATGACCTAGTGAAGGGCACCAGCAGCTGCTGGGGGTCCTCGGGACTTGGATCAAGAGACCTCAGCACCCCTGTGGAACACAGAGAGGCATCAGAGGAGCTGGTGAATGAGGGGCCAGTGGAGGAGCAGGAAAACAGCATGAAATACCAGAAACATGGCGAGGAGATCACATAGCCCTCCAGCAAAGAAGAGGCTAGGACCCTCATGGAACATGACTCCTCATCCCCTCTGTCTCCAAGGGACAGGGGGAGGATTAGAGGGTAGAACAACTGTGGTAGGTGGGAGGGAGGAGTGCAAGATTGAGAGCACATAACTCTCCACCTGCAGCTAACTAAGAACCAAGCCAGCACCTGAAGCCAATGGAGCCAAGACCCAGGTGGTGAGTCTCTGCCCAGCAACTAAAGACTATATACCAAGAGCGGCTGCCAGTACCTGAGTACAAGGTTGCCATGACTTTCTAGGGCGGACACTCACTCAACATGAGAGGTGCATGGGAGGAGGAGCATTGGCAACTGACAGAGGCAATAGTGTTGGAGTAAAGTGAGGACAACATCACTTGAACAGTACAGGGAGTGTGTGGGGAGCTGCTGTGATGGTTGGAAATTCCCATGGAGTTAGAATAAAGCCTACTTGGTTAAACATTAATGGAGCTAGGCTGAGGCTGTACCTCTGTGGCTTGGTCACAACATGATCAGCTAACCAGTCACATGAAAGGGATTGTGTTTCAGGTCTATGCATATGTTAATTTTCAGGCATCCATGTTGGGTACGGTGTTTCATTTGTTTTAAGCTATTGAAGACAAAAGTAGGACATGCCTACTTTTGACTTGGGTCCCATCTACCACTATCTGTAGTCAGCCTGCTCCTAATATGTAGTCACCAACCCATAATCCCCAAGGGAACAAGATCACTGAAACAAAGAATACTAGCTGTCTCGCACTGTTCCAGAACCTTTCACTTCCAAGCTAAAGCAGTTTTATGAACTGCATTAGAAATGTATTTTTCTTGTTTTTCACTATAATATGCCAGAGGTTTTCGTTCAGAAGCTATTTTGAGATGAGTTAAGTTCTAAATTCCCCTGTAATTTAGCCTGTGAAGTTTGACAGAAGGCAATATATAATAATATCAAATAACAAGCAGAGATGCTAAAAAGGACAGTTACAAAAGTGAAAACTCAAGCATTGGGGAAGGTATGAGGAAGGTAAACTGGAAATACTAAAAAAAGAAAAAGAAAAGAGGAAAACAGATGACATACCATCTGGAAAAGAGGAGAAAATGAACTTTAGATCTCATAAAGGCCAAGAACATGCTGGTTACAAATAAGAATATTAAATTTAGATGGAAAAGGTACTTCCATCATCATCTTAGTGTTGGAAATGTTACATGGCAAAATGCTCTAGCATTTCATGAGGTAAAGTTAGATAGTGTGACTGTTGGAATCATAGATAGCTGAATGAACGACAAATGTAACAGCTGAGAGATGTACCTGTAAGGCAAGGGTGGGCAGACTTTAAGCAGCTGTAGATCACAAGAAGACTTCATTCTCTTCCATTGGCAGAGCCAATGACAAAAGGTGTTGCTCTTGTTTATTACAATTGTGAACCACCCTGTCATCTTCAAATTCAGGATGGTAATCAACATAAAAATACATAATGAGAAAACAAAGTACATAATAGCAACAAACAAAAGCGAACCAATAACCTCCCTTTTAAAAGGCCATAGAATGTTTAATCGGCCAAAGGTCTGGTTATAGATAGATAGACATCTTCATCTGATGCCTAAAGATATGTAATGAAGGCATCAGGTGAACATCCCTGGGGAGAGCATCCCACAAATGGAGAGCCATCGCAGAAAAGTCCTGTTCTCATGTTGCCACTCTCCAGCCCTCTTGTGGAGGGGAACTTGAAGAAGGGCCTCAGATGACAATCTCAGGGTCTAGGCTGGTTTATATGGGAAGAGGTATATATACCTTGAGGTATTGCCGTCCTGAGCCATTTAATGCTTTAGAGGTCAAAACCTGCACTTTGAATTGGGCATGAAAACTAATTGACAGCCAGTGTAGTTGTCCCAGGATCTGTGTAATATGCTCAAACTGTCTTGTCTGAAGAAGTGTGCATGCACAAGAAAGCTTATACCAGAACAAACTTAATTGGTCTATAAGGTGCTACTGGACAATTTTATTTTATTTTTAAATTTCAGCTGCGTCAGACCAACACAGCTACCTATCTGTGTCTTGTCTGGGTGAGCAACATGGCTGCCTTTTTTTACCAACTGAAGTTTCTGAACTGTCTTCAGAGGCAGCCCCACATACAACATGTTGCAGTAATCTAGAAGTTACCAGAGGGTAGATAACAGAAGCTAGGCTATCCCTGTCCAGAAAGGGGCACAGCTGGACTGCCAGACAAAGCTGATGGAAAGCACTCCACATCAGTATGGCCACCTGAGCCTCAAGCAACAGCAAAGGATCCAGGATTACCCCCAAGCTACGTACTCATTCTGTCAGTGCCATCAAGAGCAGGCAACCTCTCAGCTCTCTGGTCTAGGGAACCACCCACTAACAGTGCCTCAGTCTTATCTGGATGGCGCTTCAGTTTGTTGGCTCTCGTCCAGTCCATTACTGAGGCAAGGCAACGGTCCAGCACATCCACTGCCCCACCTGCAGGTGTTAAGGAAAAGTAGAGGCTGTGTGTCATCAGCATATTGCTGACAATGTACTCCAAACATGCAGATGACCCCACTCAGCAATTTCATGCATATGCTAAACAGCATAGGGGATCAAATAACCCTGAGGTAAAATAGAGACTTATGGATAAAACTATACATGGTATGGAGACAATGTAGATAATTGAACCTGTGGACTCTAATGAACCTGAGGATGTGTCTACTAACCATGATGACTGTATATAATCTCCAGTGTTGGAGGCACTATGCCTCTGAATACTAGTCGCTGGGGAACACAAGTGGGGAGAGCCTTGCTACACTGCTTGTGGGCTACCAATAGGCTACTGTGAGAACAAGATATTATTATTATTATTATTATTATTATTATACCCCACCCTCCCTGGCCAGAGCCGGGCTCAGGGCAGCTAACACCAGTAAAATTACAGTAAAAACATAATAGGGGGGGGGGGACCCCAATTTAAAATACAGGTTAAAATGCAATTTTAAATGCAGCCTCATTTTAAAAGTAGCCCATAGATCAAAACCATAAGGGGAGGGAAACATAAGGGTCAGACTGAGTCCAAACCAAAGGCCAGGCGGAACAGCTCTGTCTTGCATGCCCTGCGGAAAGATGTCAAGTCCTGCACTGCCCTAGTCTTTCATGACAAGAGTGTTCCACCAAGTCGGGGCTGGTACTGAAAAGGCCCTGGCCCTAGTTGAGACCAATCTAACCACCTTGAGACCTGGGACCTCCAAAATGTTGTCATTTGTGGACCTTAAGGTCCTCCGCGGGTCATACCAGGAGAGGCGGTCCCGTAGGTACGTGGGTCCTAGGCCGCATAGGGCTTTAAAGATAGAGGACTATACAGGCCTTTGTCTTGATCAAGAGGGCTCTTCTTATGTTCTTAACAGACTCCTATTTTTCTGTGCAAGGAGATGCGTTGATTGGAAGATGAACCTGGTTTATATATAACTGAGGGATAAAAATGCCTGCAAACATCACAAGACTCTACGGTTCTACGAGTCTCATACCAGCTTTGAAAGTTTTAGGAAGATTGCAGAAAAGATGGCAAAGCGAGCTTCAGCTATCTCTCTTCTGCATCAGTATCAAGAAATTGCAGCTGCTCCCTTGTCTTTTCACATCAGCTACTCTTGTCACATTATCGGCTTTTAATCAGCGGGTGTAATCTAAATAAATCCATTGGTGTTGCTTGTTGTAAGAACAGATAATCATCCCCACTTGGAAAATAACAGTATTGGCTTCTCAGTGTTCCCCCTCCCCATAAGCTCCCCACTTTCTCCTAGCATTTACGTTGCAGCACAAGACTATTATCATGTCACAATGTTCTCTTTCACTGACATTATCACTTTAGGGAGGTAAGTACCTGCATAACCAGTCATGTCAGGTAATGTAGCGACTTCTGTGAGATACATGTTGTCGCTGTGAGTAATTTGAAACTCCTCTATTGGCTTTTCCTGATGTAACTTTTGCTAAAGTTACACATCGGCTTCAGCAGTACCTAATGCTGCACGTTTTGAACACTTTGCCTACATTAAAGGAACAACTCCATAGTAAATAACTTTAAGGTCTGAAGCCTTAGCAGCCTTCCCCCTGCAAACATTCTGAATGAGGTAAGTGCTTCAAGGGCATTCTTTGGCAGGTATAATAATACATGCAGAAAACTCAAACAGCACTGTAGTAGATATAAATCACTTGTATAAATATTGTGGTTACGGCAACCAAATAAAGAGAGACACCTGAGTGGTATGGGGGTGGGGGATTGAAATAATAGCGAAAGCTTTCAACATAGTTCCTTGACTAAAAATAGCAGTAAAAGGTTTAATTGCTCTTGTCAGTCACACCTTTGTTTCAATTTGAGTAAAACCTTCCACTTAGATTAGAAATCCATTAGCCTTTCGGCTCTCACACCTGTTCCCCGGCGCTGCTACCTAGGATAAATGAACTCTCGCCATTTCCAAGTCATTCTTCAGACTCTGTTTCCTGCTTTGCTCGGTATGGCAGCCCAAGATGTGTCAAAGCCACACACACTGAACAAGGCTAACAGGGAATATAAAGATGGATGCACTCCAGATGAATCTGTTAAGAAATGGAGTTTATTCAGAAACCATTGGAATATAAATTATCAAGAGAGCATACAGCTCTACATATTATTTTCATTTATCCAATGATTACACCATAAGTTGGTTTTTCTTCTTCCTTTTTTCATTTATTGGCCCTTCAATTTTAGGGATAATTTAAATTTCCCTTGGATAATACTAATAAAAAAATATTTCATCATTTTTATTCATTCTTTTTTGTTTATTTGATGCTTGACTTCATAAATTGTGTACATTTTCAAAATAAAATAGTTTTTTGGGGAACTTGCAATTTTGTACATCAGGATTATGGAACTTCAGACTCAAGGGCCAAATGCAGTCCTGTTCTGGACCTTGGAACTTTCCCCAGGCCATACCCATCACTGTTCCTGTGCTATGTCCTCTTAGAGCATGTTTACCTGGCTGAAACGTCTCCATCAGTTGTGATAATTCCTACTGCTTATCTGGATGCAGGATAGAAAGGTGTGTATGTGGGTGGGCTTGCAGAGGTGTAAAAGAGTCACACCTATGGCTTTCTGCATCTGGCCCCACCCACTTTTTGCCTTTGGCTCCACCCATCACTGCCACGGGGCATTCAGAAGGATGTCTGTGTGGGAATGCAGACTTTGGACTGAAAAAGCTTCCCCTATACATGTCTCCTTGGAAGTACATCCCACAAAATTCAGTTGTGTATGCTCCAAGATAAGTGCATGTACAACTGCAACCTAACAGCACAATATTACTCATGCATGCCTATGCAGAAATATGTCCAATATAGTTAAAAAGGGATTGCTCCCAGGTAAACGGGTATAGGATGGTTAGGTAAGCTAACTAATTTTGCTACTTCTTTCAAGTTCTTTTGAGCTTTGAATTTATCATGTGAACCATTTTCTAATTTTGTAAAGTATCCTGGTTGAAAGATTTCTGTCTCAAAAACTCAACATCCTGCAACTTGACATCATAGCTGTGATTACTATAAATGCCCACTATGTTCACCTGTTGGTGATAGTGCGGTAGACTTGGAAAGCAGGAACTTAAATTAATTAATTAATTTACAAGGAAGATTGGCTCCCAATGCAGCTTAACAATTAAAATGTACAAATGTTGTCTCTCTTTCTCTCCCCCCCAATACCCTCATTTGTCATGTCTTGAGGAGTTGCTGCCCAGTGAGCAGGAATAGGCAATCAATTGTGACATCGTTCACAGAACTGCACTAATACCGTTTGTCTAAAGGCAGATTCACATGACAGCCAATTGGGTTACATGCACTTAAAATGCTGCCAGACTTAGGAAGGCATGAGAGCATTGTAGGTTTGCTGAAATCTTTCGGTTGCCATCCTCTGCACAGAGAGGTCATGTAAGGTCCTTTTGAGGCAGCTGTTATCTGCCTAGAGAAAAACATTTTTGGAAATTATTAAAGGGCTGGTCCACTTTTGTCTTTGCCATGGCGACATGCTATAACAAGTTTTCAGTGAATATAGGTGTTTTATGAAATGTAATGTGAAATCAATGTTGCAATTCAATTTCCAGCTTATTGCACAAGAAGCACCTCTAAGGGTGTTATCAAAGCATTCAAGTCTTACAGTTTACACATATGTGTGCTTGCACAATCACATGTGTGCACAAACACTCACCCCCCATTCATATACTGATTAATCTCTTTGTGAGGCAGGTATGAGTCATTCAACAATTTCCTGCTGTATGCAGAGATGTTTTCTATAAGAAAGAACTACTATGTTAAAGAACTATTGATGGTACTTGGGTACTGTAGATGTCAAAGAAGCATATGCAGCTTCTGTAGTCATCTCTGTTAAAAAATGTAATGAAAACTTTGCCTTTCCCTCCTAAAATGATCTCATATCCCTTTTCTGTAACTCTATTACAAGCGAAGGAGCTGTAGCTTAGTGGTAGAGCATCTGCTTTGTACACAGGTTGTGGGTTCAATTCCCATCATCTCCAGGTAGTTGTCCCTTTCTGAAATTCTTGAGAACTGCAGCCAGTCATTGTAAACAATACTGAGCTACATGAACCGTATAGTCTGATTTGGTATATGGCAGCTTCCCAAACTGTTTTTCTGAGAAACATGGGAAGTTTTTTATAACCTTTCTTTGCAGTTCCTTCATGTTCTTTTAAACCATTCTGATTTCTCATGGGAAATCTCCTTTCTTCTTTCCTCTTTCAACAAGGACACTTAAAATTAATGTTGCTGTGGGAGGTGGAGGGTACTGTCATTTCTAAAAACTACACTGTAGCACAGTTGATTCTCTTTCCATTTTAAAATGCATCTGTTTTGTATAGAAGGAATAAAAGCTGTTTAGCACTCAAGGCCAAATCTTTCATTTCCATTCTTTGACATGCTTGTTAGCCTAGCAATTTAACTTCCACTTTTTTCAGTAGTTGAAACATTGTGGATTGTTTTCATTTGGAAGTAGTTTCATCTTAGTGTTAAGATGTTAGCTTTGTGTAGTCTTGTGGATATCTTCAGGGTTTTATGACCTCAACAGTCTTTCGCCCCCGCCCCCTTTTACTTGAACTCTAAGAGGCCTTTCCAGGTGTCTGCACTGAGAGGATGCTTTCAGGTACCCCAACAGCTCTGGTTAGGTGTACATTTTCTAAACCAAGAGAAACAGTTTATTGTAGGAGATCTTCCACGCCTTGGATTTGATAAATACAGATTGCTTGGCATTTGGCTGTAATACCTTATGTTTCTAAAATACTAACAGCCCAAGACAGATGTATGGTCCACTTGTCTGCATGCTCCAAGTATTTTTAGAAGATATGAAACTGGCTCCAATACTGTGTTGCCTGAACATACAAATAATATTTGGACAAATGATGCATTTAAAGATTGTCAGGAACAGAAATTTAGAGGAACATTTGTTGATTTGTCCTGGGTTAAAATAACAGGATGATGTGAGAAAGAAAGAAAAAGCAACAGTTTGCGACTAATAACTGCCCTTTGATTTTTGGATGAAATAAACATATAAATAAATAGACTCTGAGAACGTTTCACAACTGAGGCTCTGGAGGAAAATACTTGGGTTGTGCATGCCCACCTTCCTTGATCCAATTGAGGACCCATTCCAGCACTTCAGACCAGACCCAGACCCTGAACCAAATTGGGAGCCTTGCAGGGAGAAAGAGATCCATGTTTCTTTCTCTCTCCCCCCAACCCCCAAATGGTATGCTTACTGTGTTAGGGAATCATTCTGCGAAGAAACAACTAGAAAGTTTCTAGAAGGTTCCAGAGTTTTTTTCCTTTAAATTTGGGTACTTTGACCTTAATTGGTGTCAGCTGGAAGTGCTAGTAAAATAAAGACCACTCTGCTTTGTATTAGCAGATGTCTGACAGAAGAGTGCTGCCTGTGACGGACTCTTGCTGTGATTTACAAAGTGTTGGAGATAAGACTTTTGTTTGATAGTGTACTGTTTATGTTAACATAAAGATTTCTTTTGCAACCTTAATGCTTGTACCCGGTCTGGGAATAAAATATTTTGACTGAGACATCACAGTTTGGTGAGTTATCTCTAAAACAACTTCATCATGGTTCACCACTTCTGTGAGAGAGAGAGAAAGAAAAGCTCTGCTAAACAGTTTAGAAAGAGGTTTACCTAACCACCACTATCTGCGCAGCAAAAGTGTGTGGATGGTAACTTCTAATATACTCAGGTTTTAAACTGATTAAGCATGTGGTGGTGATGGTGGGGAGATGCACACAGACTGCCTGTGTACTTCCTTCCCCTCCCTTCATTGCCAGACTGCCCCTCCCCCCTTTGACAGACCCAGATCATTGACATGAGTCCATCAGCAGCTGCCCCAGCCTGATCCAGCCAAATTCTGGGTCAACCTGAATCGGCCCGATTTGCTCTGAGATCTGGAATCCAGGCAGATCTGGTGTGCAGCCCTAGAAAATACATTACATGTAGAATTATGGACTTCCTCATAATAGCAGAATTGGGATTCAAAGTCATCATTTCCACTCCTAATTTGTCTAGCTATAGTTTTTGTATATAAGAAATGAATTCACTATATGCAACTTTTTTATGTTAGGCTTTTTTTCTTATTCAGATTTTTATTAGTTTTAATTATATGTAAGCAATGTCCCTCCTGTAATATAGCTGGGATATTTGGAAGGCCACCACTGCTATGATTCAGCATCAGCTGCCTGAGGTGGTTGGATCACTCTGTCCAGTGGCAAGGTCAGCCCTGACTGTTGGTACACAAAAGGCAACAGACTTATTGAACAAGCAAACACACCCAGATATAGTAAGGTGTATGCAAAAATAAACAGATAAATCTGTGAATAGAGAATAAGAAACAGAAGAAAGAAAGCGAGAACTGGGGTTCAGGAGGGAGCAGGATCCCAGCAGGACACATCCTGGGAACACATGGTATCATTGCTCAGAAATACAGTGAAAATGGCTTCCTATAAATGTGAAGGCATGCCTCTCCAATTAAAAGCACTCTTTTCTTAAGCACGAAAATTCAGCATGTCACCAGCCCAGAGCTTTCTCAATATGATAATTTCATTATTAGTGTCTACCAAAGTACACTTGAAAATTAAAATGAATAGGAAGAAAATGCATTTTTAAGTAATTTAAGACTCAGTTTTCTGTTGGACCCTGAACTTCATTCACACTGTTATTTCCAAGACCTTTATGCTGTACAAGGCAAAAGTTCCACATTGTGACATCAGTGTGTTTTGAACACATCTTTCATAGAAAGTTCAATTTACAACAAACTCTTGGCTTTCAATAGATTTGGTAGCACAAGCCCTTCTATAGAAAGGGCTGAGAAAGGACTTTGGGAAGACACTGGCCCCTTTGAGCTCCCCGTAAGCTTTGCTACTGGAGTGAGTTGCATCCTTTGTCTTGTAAAGGTCAGTTAAAAAAGGCTGCTTCTACTTTTGGTCTGTTTTTACAGCCATGTCCTGCTATTTCATAAATCGTGAAGGTAATGTAGATAGCTAGTGAGAAAACTATAATGATAGCGCTACCCCATGTTATGAACTGCTGTGTAGGCTGCTAATGCAATCAAGAGATCCCATTACTTAACAGAGCCAATTTCCTGAACTGAGGTTGCTGCTGCTAATGCTGAAATTTCATAATTTAATCTATGGCTTTGTAATTATGTTATTTTACTGAGAAATACAAATGCGGAACAACATTTCATTGTAATGAAATTAATCATTCTTCCCCCCTTCCACTAATAGATTTGTCTGTAATGTTTCAATGCCTGTTCTGTCACTGTTATACGTTAGGCAAAGAGCTATATTTATGGGATTATCAATAGCCGTTATGTATGTCAGCAGTCGTTTTTAGTCTTTTAGAAATGGTTTTAGAAACCATGTCAGATTTCAGGCTGGAACATGGCCCAGGAGATGTACCCTACAGGGGATCATATTGTGTGTAATGTATTTATTATTACTACTTTCATCCAGTAATCTCCTACCTGTCTGTGCACACTGCAGAACAGTGATACTGCCACAGCTGTTCTTCTGTAATGTGCTGCACCCGAAGGTCTGCAAGACTACAAAGAGAATGCTATATTCACACAGACCATTCCACAATGGTATAATAAGTACTTAAGAGAAATACAAAAGTTTTCAAGGGGGTCAAAATAATTGATTTCAAGACTGAGATTTCTTCATACCACCACCCTCAGCCCAGGATTGTACAGATTTCAGGTAAGCAAAAGTATACAAGCAGTGACTATTAGGGGTACATCTGTGATGGATGTCTGTGCCCCTAGGTCCAGCTTCCTAATGACCCAGAAACCAATCAGGGCTGGGTGATGTGGCGTCCAATCAGGAGAAAGAGTAGGGGCTTAGAAGTTAGACCCTGATGGTTTAGATGTCAGATAGGACTTACCTGTCTGCGAGGGCTCAGTTAGGACTTGTCTGTCAGTTAGTGTTGGTTAGGGCTTGGAAAGCACCTAGACAGGGATCACTTCAGAGCTTGGTTAGGGCTGAATTAGGAATTAGGGGCTGAATTAGCTAGGCAGGGCAACCCAGATTGTTTACCTGATAGGAAGGTAAAGATCCTAGAAGGGGTTGGGAGCACAAAACCAATAGCTATTCTGGGAGGAATTTGTCTTTTAAGAAATAGGTAAAGTTATTAACTATCTCTGTAAAGAATGTTTGTCTGCAACAAAGTGTTCTACCTTACTAGAATAGCCATTAAGCTATAACCCTCATCAAGTAAATAGCTCAAGCAGTAGAACATAAGACTCTTAATTTCAGGGTTGTGGGTTTGAACCCCATATTGGGCAAAAGATTCCTGCATTGCAGGGGCTGGACGAGAAGACCCTTGTGGTTCTTTCCAACCCTACAATTCAAAGTGTAAATACAAAAAAAAAAAAAAAAATGGTTTTCCCAACATGTGTACCAAAAGATACTAGAACATACTTGCAGTGCCACCTTATCAATGTTCCTGTATTAGCTTTGATATCTTTCCATCAGTCCCTTCAGTCCTGCCCTTCCACCCAGATCCCTGTGTTCATGATTTTCATTCTCCCTTCCTATTTCCGTACTTCAGCCAGCACAGTGGTTTGCTGCCATAAGGATCTTCAGTTGTGAAATTTGGTTCATCCCCTTTTTGTCAGAAGCAGGGTACCTGAATATCAATCATGGCTATAGATAGTGAGTAGGGGGTCTTAAGGTCCTACTTTGTGGTGTGTGGAGCCTTCTCTGCTTGTGGAGCCCCTCACTTGTGTCCACCCCAAATCCTGTTGGATTCATTATCGGCTTTGGACCTTGACAAGATGCAGTCGGTCTCTAGGAGGGTGGGTGACTGTAAATTTCAGATTCTCTTTTTTTAAAAAATAATTTTTATTGATAGTTTCAGAATTACAGAAAAAATAAAAAATAAAAAACAACACTACAGTACATAGAAAAAAAGAAAAAAAGCAAAACATAAAAACCAATACAACAATACAGCAAAAAGATAAAAAAAGAAGAAGAAAGACACAAATCCCATATTACATATCTTTAACTTCCATTTGCTTGTTTCATTGACCTCCTCACACCTCCCTTTTTGTATTCTAGTTTAATTAGTTATTTCAGCAAATTCTTTCCATCTTTCTCAATTTTTATTAAATAATTTATCTTAACAATTTAACCTATTAATTAACTCAACAAATCCTTTCCATCTTTTCCCCATATTCTGTTATTCAAATTACCTTAATTTATTTAACCTCATCTTACCCTAAAATACCTTAAAACTTGAAACTTAATACTCAGTTATACATAACTCCTGATATCATTTCTACTAGAGCCATATAGTTTCATTCCAACATTTCCCCTAATATTCATTAATTTTAGGCTAATTCCCTAGATAAAAATTTTTCTTTATAAATTTTCTTCCAATCTTCATCCAACGTCTCTTCTTCCTGGTCTCGGGTCATGTCAGTCCTTACTGTCCATTCCATCTAGTCTATCAACCTGGTAGTCTTATGTCCGAGGCCCTTAAGTCTCTTCCATGTCCCTTCTGCAGATCTTCTTTTTCTTGTTTATACCTGCACTTTTCCTTGTCTTTTGTTGGTCTCTTTCTTAATTTCTTTCCTTTCTCATTGAGGAGTAGGTCTCTGGGAGGTTCTAACCCAAAATTATCTCCGTCTCCCTTCATCAAACCAGCCCATTCCCCACAGTCCCACTCCCCACAGTCATCAATGTAATCCAAAAAATATTTAAGAGCATATTTCAAGGTCTCTCCAAAGTTAAGAACCTCCTCAGCTCCAGACTCCCCCTGGCCCACTCCAACTTCAATTTTCAAAAACAGCGGCTTATGCTCCTGTAGGGCCTCAGGTCTCTCCATTTGTATTATTTGAGGTGCAACTGCAACCTCCTCCATTATCTTCTGCACTTGCCCAATCAATACAGGTTCCTGATTTGGTCCTTGAGTGGTTTCTGTATCAATATTCCCTGTTTGTCCACAGTTATTGACCACAACAGTCATCAAATCCATTTTCTCATCCATCAAATCCACCTTCTCATGCATCTGTTCCAACAAAGCACTTGTCTTGCATAAAGCAAGCACCAAAACTTCCTCCCAGCTCATATTTAGTCAAGGTCAGAAAAGACTGGTCCCACAATCTTAATCTCACAGCTGTAGAGTCCTCAAGTAGACTGCAACAACAATTTAGCAAGCTCCCTCTAGAGGAGACAATTTCTATTTGTATCCATCTTTTTAAGGCAAGTCCAACAAAGGAAAATTACTTTCATTTTTCAGATATTTTGTTTTCTTTAGAATGCAAAGGCAACATTGGAATCAGTTTATTTCTCTTCTTTAGCTATCTGTCAAAGTATTCCATTCACAGTCAATAAACCTCTCCAACAATTTCTGTCTCTGACACCCCGTTCCCAGGTTAGAGACGGTGGAAACTTATCCTTCTTCACTCCCTCTCCTGCAGGCATTAAACAAAGTCCCCCCCCCCTTTTCTCCTGCTTCCCAGGGGGTTTCCGTAGTTATAACTGAAGGAAATTTAGACTTTTTAACGACTTTCCAGGCTTTAGCTTACAAGGTTTTTGCTTCAGTCTATGTTCAAAAGCGGAAGGCGGACTTCCTGTTTTGAACCTTCCTGCTTCGGTGCCAAATTAAGATATTTCTTGATCCAATTTTCCGTTTCTACTCACGGGTACTTGTTTTAAATCCAATTGTCCACAGGAAAAAGTCAGCGCTCTCTGGCAATGGCTATGCGGCTTCACTCCGTGAAAGTAGCAATCAGTTCGCAGCACCGCGCTGCTCACCCCACTTCACTCCGGAACCCGAAATGGGGTTCCCTGTGAGTAGGGGAGGTGCTCCTGGTGCCCTGCCGAACCCCACATTCCCAGGCTTCCTCCGCCTGGGATTTCTAGCGGGTTCCCACCTTCACCGCGGCGGGAAGACCCAGTTTCCACGGAGCCAGTTCCTCCGGTCGGAGGAACTCCGCCATTTGCCGATGGCGCTAACCCGGAAGTCCTGTCAATTTCAGATTCTCATTTTTCCAATCTTCAGCTTAGTTTGAAAATCAATAAATCTCAAATGCATGTGGCATTGTGGCAAAGTCCTTACAAAAATCTCACCATTTTAGTGCATGCTTCTTATAACTAGGCATTTTAACTAATACACACATTTCCATTAGCCACCTTCTCTTTCCCAACCCTCCATTCCTAATGTTTACATAATTGTGGGGTTCAAGGATGGTAAGCCGAGCTTCACAGAGATGTCCTGTAGAGCTGTATGTTAGTCTTGCCATTTGCTGTGCTCTAGCGTTGGTCTGTGGATTCAGATGAATGGTGATAATGCAAAATGTATCTACTGAGGTCAAAGCAAGCTTCTCTGTTTATGTGAGAATGTCATGAAACACTCAAAGTGTCATTTTCAATACACTACTGGAGGACTATATACAAAGCCATTTTAGTTGAATATTATTCAAGGCTTATTTTTCATTGACTTCCTTGATCTATCATCTGATTAAAAGTTAACTGCTATTTTATGGCTATTGTTCTCGACTTCCCTGCACTTTTATTAGCCAAGGGTTTTAATTAAATTTCCTATTACTGCAATATACAAACAGAAAATCTATTAATATGCCTCCATCCAAGGCTGATAAAATGCCCATCTGAAGAGAAAAATTTCTATGGAAAAAGTGTTTGCAGAAGATCTATTGAAAGTTAATACTTTCATTTTCAGCAAAGTTTCATTTATATCTCCAATAAAAGCAGTAGTAAATGAATTATGCCACAACTACATTTACATTTAGTTGGGGTGAAAAGGAGAAAGCTATTGAGCCCAACCCCGATCTTGTGAAAGTCAATGGGAATTGTGGCATTAATTTCAACAACAGCAAGTACCTGAGAGTTATGAGTTGCAGTATCATAAAGTTCAGAGGCACACCTAACTTCAAAATTATGGAAAAATCCACTAAAATGAATAGGAGTAGCATTATTGTTCACACACACACACACACACACACACACACACACCCCTACCTTCCTGATCCCAAACGGTGACCCATAATCAGTGTCAAAGACAAAAACAAGGAGGACAGGTGACTTGATGGATAGGAGGACAGAGAGGGAAACCAGCATCCCTGATCCCCTTAGAAATGGTTCTTAAATGCTTCCATTGTCTGCTCAATTCAATTAGTCAGATACCCCAACAATGTGGCCCAAAGCACAAGCCTGCTCTTCGGGCCTTGCAAACTGCCCTCACCCAGTAACAGTGCTCTGGGTGAAAAGCTCTGCTTATGAGTGGTGATAGTCACAGATGGAAGATAACTGGCATTGACATTTGATGTACATAAAATGCTACGTTTGAATGTGTTGTAATTAAAATAAAAAAGTTTACCTAATGTGAGAGGATCCACTGTGGCAAAACTGGCCATTTTCTATTCCAATTACCAAAACTACATGGGGAGAGCATTCCACAAATGGGGAGCCACTGCAGAAAGACCCATTCTCATGTTGCCACCCTCTGGACCTGAGGATCTGAGGATTACACCTCTAAGATCTTTAATCTCGTTCTTTGCTTTGGTGTAACAGGGCAAATGGACACTTGCTGGTAAAGCTGATATGAATGAGTCCAAGAAGAAGCAAGGTCAACAGGAAGCATTACTGAAGTTGTTCCTGAGGTCTGTAACAACACAGTGGTTTTCAATTTCACTGTGAGGTGGAAACTAACAGTGTCAAAGGAAACAGTGACAGTTCCTTAGCCTGCAGGAAGGTGAAAGAATAGTTCATTGCTCTTTGAAATAACCTTTGGTATCCAAAGATTAATTATGTCAGACTTCATTTGTTGTAAGGCCCATGATCTTTCAAGCAGCTCTTTGGAAACAAATAATTTAATCAAAAATGTTTGAATCTGAGGGCTGTGTGACTTTTCATTTGAAAAATATCGCAGATGAAATGAATAAACATTAGTGTATTTTTTTGCACCGCTTTGTTTGGAAAAAAATATATTAATATATTCTACATCACACTTTTATTTTTACTCTCAAGTCTGTATAAAAGCTGAATGTGCAGATTTTCTTCCATAAATGAAAGGCCAGAGAGAACTGTCAATTTGACAATTCTTGTGGTGGTCTTACTTGCGTCAAAACTGTCTGAACAAATCAGCAATGGAATGTGCTCTGCAAATGCCATCAGCTTTCTGGGTCAGAAAGAATTAGGAGTATCTTGGGGCACAATCTCTCTCCCTCAGAGATAAGACTGTGATCTTTATTGCCATATAACAGTGGTGAGCAATAATGAAGAAAGGGTGAATACAGAAAAGTAACCTCCATTGATTCCCAGG